AGTAGAGAGGCACCTAAAGGATCCACAAATCCCCATGTCGATGTGGAAAAGCCACATGAGCACCATCTCACCAAAGGACACTGGTGAAACAGCAGCCACCACGCAGTGGCACAGAGCAAGAGATCAACCCAGACCCCTCTTCTTCCTCCTCCTCCTCCTCCCAGGAATCTGGCACCCTGGAAAAACCTGCCCAGCCTTTGCATTCTGCAAACCTCAGCTCTAAAAATAACGCTCCCTGCAAGTGACACATTTCTCAGGGAGCCGAGCGCAGCCCACGGAACCAGACATCAGGGATAGGTTTTGTAAACAGGGCTTTTTTAAGGTTTAGCAATCCATAATCAAACATCCAAAGCCATCGCTGGGTGGGGCAGAACTGAAGGAGGGACCCCGTCACAGGGAAAAAAATCCCACAAAGGAAAACCCAAGGGCTGGCCCCTTGTTTTCCAACACGTCCCAAATGTCTCAACTCACACTTGTAAGATTTTGGGATGGAGTTTCTCACCCTGTATCACACCACAAGAAGGGTCCCAGCTCCAGCCATGCCCACAACAACAATACTCCCCTCACCAGCTGCTTCCAGAGAAAAAAACTCCTATTTTTAGGGAAAGCAGAGGCTCAGAGATGGCCAGACACACAACCCCACTGCAGGAGGGGGCTGTGCCCCACCTCTCAATCCCCCAAATAAGTAGGATGTGATCCTTCCCTGGCTGCTGCTCTCTCCCCAGGGGCCAGGATGAGAGGCAGAGCAGGAGGAAGAGTAGCCCAAAGTGTTGCTAGGTTAATCACAGTAATTAGCCACCATCTTGAGTGACTCCCATTAGTTACAGCCTGATTTTCTCAGGCACAGTCAGCACAGGAGGTTTCAATTAAAACTCATCTCAAAAGCGAGATGGAAGTACCACCCTGACCCACCATGGGGCTCATCCAGGACATGGGGGCATGCACAAGAGGTGCTCTTGTCCTTGAAAGACAAGCTTTAATTAATTTTAAGCCCTGCTTGGGAAGCCTCAGCACCTTCTGCCTGCAGCTTGGAGAAACGAGGCAAGGGGAATGCGAATGTTGGCTGCACCAGAACACTTCACAAAAATATTAGCCACAGCTTAATGAGCTCTCTCCAGGGATGTGCTGTCAGGGCTAAGGCTCAGGCCTGCCCACACCTCTGTGATTTGAGGTACCTTTCCAGCTGGTTTGTGCTTATTTATAGGCAGCAGTCCTTGCAGAATCATGGGAGCAGATGAAGCTGAGTCTCTTCCCCTCGATAATGTTGAGTTTTCTGCTGCCCTTCCTGCAGAGATCAGGCTCAGACATCTCCAACACCTCACCAATGCCAGGGGCAGGCGCTGCACACCAGGAGCTTGTGGTGTTTTTAATGGGATCCCCCATTCCCTGCTCCTTAAGTGACAGGAAATTGAATGTTTTGGCACTAAAGAAATAGGACAATAACCCAGAACCAGGCTGGGAAGCACAGATGCCTGTGGATGGCGAACTGCCAGAGTGAGTGTTTTGGTGCCTGTGCTGGTTCCTTTAAACAACTGCCTGGAAAACCCAATATTGGATTTAAATCCACAACAGGCAGCGCCTGAAGCAGGGAGCACAGATCCCAGCACATCTCTGCCTAGGAGGAGAAAAACAACCCTTCTGAGCCAATAAATAGTACAATTGGAGGGTTGCCTTGACATGGGATTTTTGGGGGAGAATCCCACCCCCCTCACTTTGCAGATGCCACATCCCAGCACCGCTGGGGAATTGTGGAACAATTGGTGCCAGGGGACACCTGAGCCAACCTGCTGGCTCAGAGCAAAGCCAGGATGATGCCAGAGGTATCAGAAAGGGAGAAAGCCCAAAGCCTTCGCCCCCAAGCCCCCGGGCTCCTGCCTGCCCTGATCATTTCTCAGCCTGACAGAGAGCTCAGCAGCCTCTCCCCAGGCACGAGGCCTCACGCCCGTGACTAATGGTATGTTTTGACATCCCTGAAATACTCCAGCACTTCATTTCAGCCGCAGGGAGCAGGAAGGAAGGAGGGGGACATGCTGGTGGGGAGCCGGCACCAGGGAGGGAAGCGTAGAAAGAGCTTTTGCACGAGCAACAGGCAGGGATAAAGCAAAGCAGCATGGAAAAGACTCGGGAGATGGATGGGAGGCAGGTTGAGACCTGGAAGGCACCTGGGGGCCCTTTCTGGTCCCCTCTGCTCCTTGGCTGTGCCTTCCCTGCAGCTCTGTGGAGATGCAAGGCACTGGATTTATCCATCTCCTCCTAAACACAGCGCTGGAGTGGGGGCACAGGGATGCTCCACTGACCCCCAGCACGTGTGTACGTGGCTGGGGAGGGATGCAGGGTGCTCGTGGTTAAGGAGGGATGCAGGGTGCTGGAATCCCTGCCCGGGGTTAAGGAGGGATGCAGGGTGCTGGAATCCTTGCCCGTGGTTAAGGAGAGATGCAGGGAGCTGGAATCCCTGCCCGGGGAGGCAGGAGAAGGCAGTGTGTCCCCAGGCTGCTCCTTTGGACTGTCTCCAGCAGAGGCAGGAAGGTGACAGACAGCGGTCCCCGGGGAGGTTAATTAACGAGCATCTTCTGCGTTCCAACAGGCACCTCCGGCCCCGGGGGAGCCAGGGCAGCAAAGAGCATCGCAGCCACCAGCCGAGCTGCTGGCCACCACCATCTGCCAGCCACGGAGAGGAATCTGGAGCTTTTCCTGGCAGCTCTCGCTCATCACCAGCTGCTCACGCTGGGGCTCAGGGCTGGGGAGAGCCGAGGGCAGGGGTCTGTGTGGGCTCCACACCACCACGGGCACTGCCCCGAGAGGCAGAGGGGGGGAAATGGAGCGGCTTTGGGAGAACTGGCCCAAAATGCATCCCTGCCCTGAGGGAAGAGGCTCAAAACACCGCCAGACTCACCCCAATCTAGCAAGCAGAGCAGAAGAGTCACCCCCTGAACTGCATCAGCCCAGGGTCCACCCCTAAATTCCAGCCACGAGCATCCTCAGTGGCAGCCACGGCCCCAGGAATGAGCAGGAACTCCGGCTGCCATCACCAGAGTGCCACTCGCAGAACTTTCCTTGGGTCACTGGGAGCAAGGAGCCCGTCTGGCAGCAGCAGAGGTGCTGGGGGTGTGCTGGGGGGACTGGTTTCTCTTCTCAGCTGTCGCCAAAGTCATCGTTGTGGCTGTGAGTGATTCACAGGAGTGCATGAAAAGCCGTGAGTCAGACGCTGGATGCAGTGGGTGGGTGCATTGACTCAGCCACAGCGGGGATGGGGCACGGGGGGCTGCAGCCTCACACGGCCCGGGGCACAGGGCTGCTTGCATGGGCTCACAGGCAGTGCTGCCACAGGTCTCACACACATGCTGGGGTCCCCATTAGTGCCCTCAGCAGTGTGGGGGAGCCAGGGGGAGGCTCTGCCTCAGCATCACCCTGTCACCTGCCCCAAAAGGGTGCCAAGGGGCCGGGCAGTGCTCTCCCTCAGCCTGTCACTGGCAAAAGGTTTGCACTGCCCTGCGTGGCAGCAGAGGAGGAGGAACCCCCCCAGGTACTCATGGGGTGCAAATGCTTCCTAAACTACAGCGAACAAACTTTCCAGGTATTCCAGGACCGCTGAGGAGCGAAGCAACTCTGCCAGGCAGCAGCAGAGAGCAGAGGGGACTTCAGTGCCAGGGCCTGATGCCACCACCAACACCACCTTCACCTCCCAGCCCTGTAGTGCCCCATCCAGGGGGGCTCAGCGCACCTGCAGCGCTGCTTTGGGCAGAGGGCGCTGCAGGAAACCCTCCAAAAGCTCATGTTTGGATGGCACTCAGTCTCTCCAGTCACTCAGCGGGTGATGGCTGAGCCCCAGCCTCGCCAGAGCTGCCGGCAGCAGCTGGCTCATCCCGCTGGCAGCGCCTTCAGTCATGCTCTGCCTCCTGTGCCAAAGCAGCCCGGCAGCCTGGGGACCAGCCCAGAGTGTCACCGCGTCCCACGGCACCCTGAGGCCGCCCTGCAGCACGGAGCGAGGCCGGAGAGCCGCCTGAGGGGGATGTGAGCCCCGGGGGACACAGCGTGGGGCAGGCTCAGGTAGCACTGCTCAGTCCGGGATGCTGGGGAAGTGTTATCCCTGGCCCCACGAGCTCCAAAAGGAGCCGCCAGCACCCAAAAACACGCTCTGCAACGCAAGAGGAGCTGGGAGAGCTGGAACGACGAGGCAAACAAACCCTGATTTAGGACCCCACTCGTTCATCGCTGTCACTGGCGACACCCAGGAGAGGCACCTGCACCCACAGAAAGGGGGATGGGTGCGGGGAGACAACACGAGGGCAGGAAAGGAGAGAAGCCAAGAGCTCCAACACGCGTGGGAAGCCCTGGGCTGGCAGGGGAGGTGGGCTGGAGCCGGAGCAGCCCAGTGCTGCCCAGGGCAGGGGGACAGAGGGGGGTGACACCTCAATCCGGCTGCACCCAGTGCGCCATGAGGGCGGGCACCCCCAGAACGGCCCCATGTACACACCATCCTCCCCGAGGGTGGCGGCTCCCCCGGGACCCCCAGTCCCCCCCTCCAAACCACCCTAAGCAGAGAGCCGAGCCTCTCTTAGTACAAACTTTGCGAGAGCCCATCCCCGCACCTCAGAAACCTGGGGAATGGGGAAAAAACATGTGAGCCGGGCTTCAAACTTGGGGTGTCGTCCCAAAGCGCTGCTGGAGCCCCCCAGCTCGGCGGTCAGAACCCACCTGTGGCCGCTCGCCGCCGGCTCCTTCCCCCGCGCTCCAGCCCCGGAGCCCCGCGCATCCCGGAGAGCGGCGGAGACAGAAGGGAGGGGAGGAGGTGTCCACCGGGAATCGCTCAGAGAGAGGAGGAGGAGGAGGAGGAGGATGGAGACAGCCCCAGCTGGCGTCTCCCGACCGTCCCCAACAGGTAGCAGCGAGCGGGGCGGGGATGGGATGGGATGGGATGGGATGGGATGGGGTGGGGGGACACGATGTCCCCGCGGACTTTGGGAGAGCCCAGGGCCACCATCCCGCTAGGCATGGCTTACCTGGGGACAGAGGCATGGATCCGGCCGGGGGTTATTCCAGAGGCATGGTTTGTTATGGAAAAAGGAGGAAAAGAACCGTGGGGAAGGGAGGGGAAAAAAGGGAGGGAGGGGAGAGGAAGAGGGGAGGGAGAGACGAGAGGAGTAGGGAAGGAAGGAAAGGGGGAGGGGGGATAAAACGAAATTAAAAAAAAAAAAAAAGGAAGAAAATAGAGACAGTTAAAATCTGTCTCCTGCCCACACAGTGAAAAAAGAAATTTCTGACAATCGGAGGAAGGGAACTCGCACATAAACCAGAGGGGGCAGACGGGGGATAACAAAGGAGAGAAGGAGCCAAGACAAAACACGGCGGCAACTGTCCGGGCACACAGCCCCTGGCACAGCCCCGGGGCAAGGACGGGGCACACAGCCTCCCCTCTGCCCAGCCAGGCCAGCTGGGGTCAGGAGGGCCCAGCAGCAGCACCCACGAACCTGGCAGAGCACCCCCCATTGCCCCCCAGCCCGTGTCAGGGCTCCCCCATCCCTCCTTCTCCTCCTCTCTGCGCACACCAGGGCACGGTGACCACGACAACCAGCCAAAGTGAGGCCACCTGTGGGGACAAGGGACACGGATGCATATCCCCCCCCACCCCACCCTGATCAGATTTCTTATATCCCCCTGGCACGGCACAGCTGCTGGGCACATGAGCCCCCAAAATCTCATCACTCCTCTGGGAGACCACACCCTGCAGGCTCCTTTGGGTGGCCCACACCATGATGTCCCTTTGCCTGGGCTTTTTCCTTTCAGCACACTGCAGAGTATCCCAGGGAACCCGAGTGGCTTGGCAACATCCAGCAGCATCCTGGGCTGGCCACAAAGGCTGCCCCGAAGCTGACCCTGAGCCCGGGCAGGTGCTGCTCCGTGGCACACAGCCCTGCCCCATGGCACACAGGCAGCATTTCTGCTCCTTGTGCTTTGCCAGGACACCGTGTGGCTCTGCAGTGCCCTGCTGGCATCTCTGTCACCCCCCCCCTGACAGGGACACTGTGCCACCCAGCCTGGCCGCTGTCTCCTTAAAACCTTCATCCCTAAATCTGAATGAGGGGAATCTTGGAGATGAGTGCTTCATTTAAACATCTCATCCAGCACTCCCTTCATTCATTCATGCTCCTGCCCCAGCACGCTCCTGCCAGCACCTCAGGGAGGAAAACCTACATGTTCCCATTCTCCTTGGGATGGATAGAAATCCCTCAAACAACTCCCAGGACGCTGCACACCAAAATCCAGCCCAAGCAAGGCTGTTCTGGCACGTACAGAAAGGTGCAAATGCTGCCACAGGGTCCACTCCTGTCAGTAATTCACCCACTCATCCTCTTGTGTTCCCAGAAGCTGGCCCTGATAGGGATGAGAACATTCCCTGTTAGAGGGCATCCCTCCAGCTGCCCAGAACAGGGGCTTTGCCACCATCTCACACCCAGCCCTGCATGCGTGCTGCTCCCAAATCCTGCTTTCCATGGCCTCTCTGCAGCTGGGACTTACCCAGGTGGGAGCCAGCTCGAAGGCCCCGAGAGCACTTCCCCAGTGCCAAGGCCAGGGTGTGTTTATTTAAACACACACGTGCTGTTCCTTGGGGACCAGGGATGCCTTGGATTCAGATGTCTCCATGGTTATCTGCTCACGGTGGGAGCTGGGGGTGGTTGAACTCTGAAGAGTTCACCATCCATCACCCATCTCCCTGTCCCCCTTCCCCAGAGCTCGGCTCTGCCTCCCGAGGCTGCTCCAGCTCCAGCGCAGCAGGAGGAGGAGGAGAAGCAGGTTCTCCCCAAGAACTCGTTCCGTGAATAATTTTGCCGGCTCCCGTGGATGACTGGGCACGAATGCAGATCAGCTTTCTCATCCCGAAAGAAAAGACATTCCTGATCGGCACCGAGACAAAGCTGAGCATCTCCTCCCACCACCCAGAGCCAGACAGGAGTGAAATACGGAGCGACAGCATCAGGAGCAGCACCGACATCCCGGCGCTGAGCTGCTGGCATCCCTGGGGAGCAGCGGCACTGCCGGCATTCCCAGGAGATGCAGGAGCTTCCCCCAGCCCTGCGGGGTGAGAGTCCAAGGGAAAGAGCCAAAAAATGCAGGGCTGCAAAGCCCAGCTAGGCAGGAATGAGCATTTCTACATGTAGGGGTGTCTGACTTTGAGCAAAGCCTCAAAGGTTCGTGGAAGCACCTGCAGATGTCCGAGTCTGTTGTCCAAAGCACTTGGAGCTGATCCATGGGCTCTGCTGACCCCTTATCCCACCCAGCAGCACTGTGCAGAGTAACCTCAAGGACCTCCAAGGTTCTAACCCACAGCACAGCACAAAATCCTATCTGGTTTTCCTCCTCCTCCTCCTCCTCCTCCCCACACATCCAGCCACAAACACTCCAGGTGCAGACTCTCAGGGGGCAGCTCAGAGGGCAACCAGAGACCAGCAAAGCACAACTTGATGGGGAGAAATTTGCCTGGAAGAATTGGATTTGTCTAGTCTGGAAATCAGAAGAGATTGGGTAGCAGTCTTCAATTATGTAAAGGGTTGCTGCAAAGGGTGTGAGAATAAATTGTTCTGCATCCCCACAGGGATTCTTTTCCTCCACAGGGTATAGGACGAGGCTGTAAATTGTAGATTAGACTAGAAAACAACCACCTCAATGGCAAGGATTATTTAGGCTGTGGGACAGACAACAGGGAAGCTGCTGGGATTTGAGAGCAGGCGAGACAAACACCAGTGAGGTGGGCTGGAGGAAGCAGCTTGAGACTGGGAATGGACCCCCACGCAAGGTCTGCTCTTCCCCAGGCATTTTAGCACTCAGTGCCTACCTCGAGCTGACTTTTCACTGCTTTCTGCCAAGCAGGAGTGGACCAACAGCTTTTTTGAGGGTGATGCCTCCACCTTCTGCAGTGCCTGTGCTCTTTGTCCTGTGCTTAGGACCCACAGCACATCAGGGAACACCACTCAGGGACCACCTTCCCTCCCAGGGAAGCTGCAGCAGGATGTCATCACCCACCATCTACATCCCAGCAGGAATTAGTGGTGGGGTGCAGCTCCCCACCCTCTCTGGGGCCATCAGTACCTGTAAAGTTGACCGGTCTGGATCAGAAACTCCAGCTCCTTATGCCCCTTTTGAGTGCCACACTGGTGCCTTTCGAGCTGATCTGTGTGGTTTTTCTACCAAATCAGCCTGTGGGGATTTTAAACAGAGCTAAAGAGACAAGAGATGAAGCCCAGGGCCAGCTGAAAGCATCTTTAAAAACAAAGAAGCCCAGTGTACTCAGCAAAACCTCCAGCCCAGACGCCAAATTGTCTGCTGGACCCATAGGTGGTGATAGCAGGAGAGATCCAGATATTCACAGATTTCCATCAGGAACAAGTCCTGCTGCCCTGGGGAGAGGAAGTTGCAATTGCCACAGGGAAGAGAAATTGGGCAAGGGGTGCTGTGTGCCTTCCACAGCTGGTAAATACTCAGAATTCTACCCTGGGGCAAAAAAAGCACTTTCCAGTAAATTCCACATGCTCACACTAAGGTTTGTCCCCAGGGAGCTGCCTGTGCCAAACTACAGATTTCTGTTTAACAACAGGAGAGCACATGGAACTTGAAACATCTTTAATAATATTTACTCTCTCGTAATAATATCAATGCTAACAAGGTCAGAGAAGAAAAAGAATCATCCTACATCTCAGGATGTTTATGTAAAGTGAGACTAAACTTTCCTGAAGTAGGAATTTTTCAAAAACCAGACAATCCTCCCTGGAAAATAAAAAAAAAAAAAAAAAAAATTAACATTTCAGTAATAAATTTATGAGATGAGGTTGCAAAAGAAAAATACCAGAGTGCTGTGGGAGACAGACAAAAACATGGAACTTTCTCTTTCAGTACTGTACTTTTGGCCAGCTGAATCACAGGGAAGCTGCATCCTGAACGGGATGATCAAGAAGCACTAAATTTGTCTGAAAAAAACCTCCTAAAAAATCTCATTCACCCATCAGCTAGTGCAGACTGCAAGAAAAATATCAGCAAATAAAAATATCAGCAAATAAAAATTTCAGAAAATAAAAATTTCAGCAAATAAAAATTTCAGGAAATTTCCCTCTGAATGCTCTGGCCGAATTTTGTCACCTGGGTTATGACCAAACAGGCAGCAGCTCCAGCGTGTCACTGAAAGCTGAGCACAAAGGATAACTTTGCTCTGCCTGCTGCTCCACCTCAGACCCTCAGTTTATATTCCATTTATGAAACAAGTGCTGTTCTCCACTTCCCAAATCCTACCTTTCAGCTGGAGCCCAGATTTTCCTGGCACTCGTTCTGCCTCACTACCCAGCCTCCTGTGTTTAGAATGCCTCTGCCATGTGGGAAGCACGCAGGGACCTCTGCTCTTCCCCTGTCCCTCTGTGGCTGCAGGTGCCTATATTTCAGCACAGATATTTTTATCCACTTCCCCACCCTCCCCATCCCTGCCTGGGCTGTCTGACTCAAATCTGAGCCATTCCACAGGGTCTGTCTCACAGCCCAGTCAACACAAAGGCAACTGGTGCCAAAAACCCATTTCTTTCTGATCTGATTGTTTGTTTTCCTGCCTTTCCAGTTTGGGATTTTTGACAGGGAGCCATGTGAAACCAACTGCTCATTGTTTACTGGGAAGCCTGTGGCAGTGTTTTAGTCATTTCACTCGCCAGAGGACCCGAGGAGATGATGGAAAGTCAATTAGCTCCCTGCAAAAACCTCTTTGCCAAAGCTCTTTGGTGTCCACACACGCAGAAAAGCCAACCCAAACAAGAGGCCAGGCAGGACCAGGGCAAAGCTGCTCCTTGTTGTGCTGCCCAGTTTCCTCCTCCCCTGCTCCCCAAAAACCACCCTGCTCCTTATCCAGAGCTGATCCAGAGGGTTTGGAGAGAAGCCCAACAGGACAGAGTCCCTGAGAGGGCAGCTCCATCATCCAGCATCTTCCCAGCTCCTCCAAAGAGCTCCTCGTGCTCGGGCAGGATGGGCAGATCCTCACCCTGGTGAAGCTCTGGTGGCAATCCAAGAGCCAGATGGAGTCAGCTCCTCCCTGACTCAGCCCAAACACACCACCAGGTACAGTGGCTGCATGGCA